AAGACCATTGGCATTGACAAAATCACCATCAGTCAACCGCAAAAGGCAGCTTTACTTGGAAAGCTTACATCCTGCGACGATGCCTTTAACACCATCAAACAACAACATCTGCCTATCCCAGGTCCTTGGGAAGGTGGATAAAAATGCCAAATCTAGTCTAAACATCTGGCTGACTGTGCGACCAACAATAATATAAATGTATATGCCGCCCGACTCCCAGCGACTCTGGGCAGTTTACAAATTGTTAAAAACATTTAAAACCAGAAAACAACACAAAACGAAAAAGAGCAAAGATGACAGAGATAACAAGCCCAGATGGGAACAAAAAGAAGAAGAAAAGAGGGCTTCAATCACACTCGCCAAAGGCTTGTCTAGAAGGTATAAAGGCACTTCAAATTTATGTTGGAAATGTGAACAACAAGAAGGGACCTTTTATCATGTTTGGTGGACATGTAAAAAAGCTAGAAAATTCTGGATTCAAATATATATACTGATTTAGAGGAATTTCAAGATTAATGTACAGTTAAACCAGAGGCTTTTCTTTTGGAATTGATGGACAGTTGGAAAAAAGTTATGGAACTTTGTTTTTGTACATGATAACTGCCGCGAGATTATTGTATGCACAAAGATGGAAAAATTTGGCATTACCCACAATGAAGGAATGGTTGGTGAAGATGATGGAGCTTACTGAAATGGCTAAATTGACTTCTTTGATCAGAGAAAAGATAATATCTATGTTTACTGCTGACTGGAAAACCCTTATGAACTTTTTGCTTGAAACAGGAAAAAGTGAAATTATGATTTATGGTTTCGATGATAGATAGACCGGATAGATTATAGAAAGAAGAGAGTTATGTTGTAACCATAGAGCAGGAGGTAAATTTATAACTGTACTTATAACTGCTGTAAAGAGGAGCGGAAGCTATTTCTCTGTATCTTTTTCTTTTCTTTTCTTTTCTATTTTTCTTTTACTTCCCCCCCCCCTTTCTTTTCCTGCACTTTTAGCTTTTTCTTTGATTTCTTTCTTTTTCTTTTCTATTTCTTACTTTATATTAGTTTGTATTAGTTTTTATCTTCCTTTAAAAAAAATCTTTAATTAAAATTATGAATAAATATGAAGCATCCATCTGAGCTCAGTAAGTTCCATATCTCCTAAACCACCATGCCTGTCCATCAACATCAAGCAACAGGACACGGAAAAGAAGTTATATTTAGGCCAGGTCTCGTCTTGCTCTTAGAGCAGGGAGCAGAGTTCAACTAGATGGGATAGCAGCAGATACTCAGAAGTCCTGTATTTAACTCACGTGTTCATCGAAGTAAATTGCTTACTGGGAACTGATAATACAGCTAGTACAATCACTAGCTACTCTGCTGTTGTGCTTTATAGCAGATCAACATAAACCAGTATATAATTCGGCAAATGGTCTGAGAGATAAGGAAGGACTAGAGCTAAGGAGTAGAGCATCTACGTTTCATATGAAAAGCCCCAGCTTTATATTTTGAATCTCTAAATTGTATTCTTGTTCAAACTGTTAATAGCCAGTGGAGGTGGTATTGAACTAAACAGACCAATGGCTTGGACTGATATAAAACAACTTTTTGTTTTGATATCCCCCAAAGGGGGAAAAAATACTAATTTTTCAGGCGTAGGCATGAGAACATAGAGTTGGTTGAAGTGTATGCGTAGTTTCTCATCAGGAATAAAGTTTTGTAGTAGTTTGGCTGCATATACTACAGAACAAATTATAGGCAAAATAGTTTGTCAAGACACATGAAGTGGGCTTTTCATTTTTATTCTATTTGTTGATAGTAAATATTCATTTTCTTATAGTTATTATCAGATTAATCTTCATGCCTATTACTGTTTTTACCTTTTGAGACTTTGCTATCATCTGTAGTTCCAGCCTCTTTAGGTCCAGCATCTGGTACAGTAAGTATATCTGAGACTGTTGGTTGATCAGAAGAAACTTCAGGAGGAGGAACCTCTCCCATCTTTTCTAAAAAGGAAGACAACATAGGAGAATTTTTTTAAATGAAAGTTTACAGCATATCATGGGAATATGAAAGATTATACTGGCAAAATGAAGATTATATTCAATACCAAGAAAATGAAATATACTCATATATACATGAAGAAAGTGCACACATGTGAAGATCTAAGAATATGAGCACAAGGATCCAGTCAAAATAATTTTAATAAGAATACAAGGAAAGGTTAACAAAAATTATAGTATTGTGGGGGAATGTACTATATACTATATAGAAAAGAACACATGGTTTGCTATTCCTCAGGACTCTGTTTTAGATCCTATGCTGTTCACTATATGTATAGATTATTTGAATGAGGGGTTAAAAAATATAATGATCAAATTTTCATTGGGGGGAATAGCAAGCATCTTATAGGACACTACCCAGATGCAGGAGGATCTTGACAAGCTGGAACACTGAGAAGAGACCAACAAGTTGAATTTCAGTAGGAGCAAGTGGGAAGTTCTACCTTTGGGAAGGAGAAATAAAATAAAAGGCATGTGCGTAGGACAATGGGGAGGTCATACATGACACTGGAACATGCAAAAAGGATCTGAGGGTCCTGATGGATCATAAGCTAAACATAAATAACAATCTGATGCAGCTGAAAAAACCCAAGCAAACAAATCCTTTCCTTTCTTGCAGAAGTATGAAGTAACATGTCAAGATCAAAGAAAGTCAGTGTACCTCTCTAGTGTACATTGCTCAATGCACACCTAGAATATTGCATCCCGTTCTAAGAATCACACTTTAGGAAGGACAAAGACAAACTGGAGCATGTCCAAGTTAGAGCAAGCAAGTTGATAAAAGGTCTGGAAAGAAAAATGTATGAAAACAATTGGAGGAGTCTGGTATATTTAGCCTGGACAGGAGAGACACAATAGCTGTCTTCAAGTATCAGAAGAACTGTAAGATAGAAGATGGGGTAGACTTGTTAAGTATTGTTCAAGAATGCAAAAAGAGAAACAATGGATTTTGAATGGATATCAGGAAGAATTTTCTAACAGCAAGCGATACTGAACTGTGGATCAGCCTGCCTCAGAAGGTGGTGGACTTCACTTCCATTCTTCACTGGAAGAATGGAAATGGAGGTTGGATGCTGTAATAGTAGATTCCTCTACTGGGCAGGAGACTGGACCAAATGATTGCCAAGATCCCTTCCAAAACCTATATTCTATGATAATTTATGAACTTTTTTTTGCAGAACTAACTTATTTTTCATTTTTAATAAATTGAATTGAATCTTACAAATCCCACCCCCCACCCCCGAAGCTTCACTGTTCTGGATGGGAACCCAAGTAAATGGGTTTGAGATGGTTTGCCTCTTCCCCATCTAATCAATGAAAAAGCTCTGCTTGTTCAGATGCCTTGCAAATACAGAAATGACTTGTCTGCCTGTGGGAGATTTGTGCTGAATCCAAACTATTGTTCTATTGTCATGCCATTTAGCCTAGTGATTCCCAATTTCGATTTCAGCTGACAAAAAAGAAATAGTCCAAATACAAGGGGAATACCCATGCTCTGTTTTAAGCCATAGTTTGTTTGTTTGTTTTTGTCCTCATGGGTAGCATGGCTGTTTTTGGTTTATGGCAGGGATGTCTGCAGGGGCAGCACACAAAAAAAGGGCAGGGCTTCAATTGCATGGTGATGGCTGCCATCTTGACCTTTTTTTACCGCCTCCTGGGAACACCCCTGCTTTATTGGCTCTATAATTTGTCTTAAATGTCTTTGAAGAAAGATTGTGCATCACAGTGGTGATGGACTGAAACAGAACAGAAATTTGCATCCTTTGGAGTCCTAGTTTACCTGGTTCTTTCACTTTAAGTTCAAATTTGACCTTGGAACTTCCAGCAATCGCAGCATAAGTGGCATCATCCTCTTTTCCAACATTATTAATGGTCAAGGAGTGCTTATTCCCCTCTGATTGGATGACAAACTTCTCGCTTGTGGTAAGTTCTACACCGTTTTGCTGCCACTTCACCTTGATGCCCGACTTCTCCGTCTCTGCTTCAAAAACAGCAGTGCCTCCTGCTGAGACATCTCTTGTCTTTGGTTTCTTGATGAATGCTGAAGCTAAAGGGAGGACAAACAAGACTGAAAAATACAAAATGGTCTACCCGGTTTTCCAGTCCCTCTTATCGATACCACTTGTGATATTTTTACAGACATTGACCTTTAGAACTGGAAAAGGTTATCACAAATTCTCTTACTCAATTTAGGATGAGAATATTACATGCATATTTATTGAATACTGATTCTAGCTCCATTTTTATCTCAACTATCTGTTGTTTAGGCAATCCACTTAGAAGCCTGAAAACAGGAAGGCCACTTGTATTTCCTTTCCACTGAAAGGTTTTCTCCCTCTCTAGCAGCTAGAATTCCTATCAGTTTAGATTAGCAGGTCAACAATGATCCTACTAGAAAAAGCTAGACTTGGCCTCAGCGATCTGTGTTTTTGTGACAATAAATGTACTATATTGTGCTCTCTGAAGGGTACATTAGAAATCTTTCAGAGACTCTGGTTGGTGAAATATGCTGCTTCCCGAATGTACTGTTGGTTAGTGGGTACAATGACATGAATCAATTGCACTATGAAACCTTCTGAGAATCTTGGTGAGATTTGCTAAAAGCAATCAAAATCAATGTTGGAAGAAAAAATGTAAATTCTGAGCAGAATTTTCTAGTCCAAGCTGATTTTTGTAACCTACATAGGCTGTGCTTGTGCAGTTAAACTAGGACTTTTCATCTGAGGCAAAGAGAGCTTTCTTTCTCTATGTAATATGCTCTTTCATAAACTACTAATCCCAGCCTGCTTTATACATAGGAATGTGTGATAATTGGTGGGAGGAAGTGCAAAGGATCATATTAATTGGGTAATGACATTGATCCTTGGGACAGGAGAAGCAAGCATCATTGATTTATTATGCACAAACTGTACTGTCTGAGTTTAAATACAAGATGGGTACCCAAGTGCATAAGGAAGTTAAATAAAGGTACCAATTAGTCCTTCAGTTTTTAATAAGATCTTTTGGTAGTCTGCTTTGTGTAATACATTAGGTAGGATCAACCAAAATGTAGACTTATTTGGGCCTCATTGGATAGAACATCTTAATTTGATATTTCTTCTCATGAAAAATTGAGACTTTGGAGCAATTCTTATTTAAAAATGGCTGGGAATATCTCTTTTGGGAAAAGAAGGGTTCATAACAGGATTATTCCCCTTAATCAACTGTTAACTAATGATACTTTTAAAATTTTTGAGATTTTACAGAAGGAATGCAAATTAGCTGTAAATGACAATACATACAGTTAAAACACCAGCTGTGTATGCTAGTTGTTTTCAAAGCACTTTAGGTCCCTGAGCCTCCAGAAGTATTATGCTGGAGAAGCCCTTTACTGAAACTAAACTGACAGTTTATTAATCCAATTCTTGTTTTTAAAAAATCAAAATAAATGTGGACAATATACAAAAAAAAAAAAGGGATATTCCATATTACCTAATGTCAATGGCATTAAGATATAAGGAATATTAGATACATTTCTTATTACCTGAAATCTCATTTAGTTCAGCAAAAAAATCATCTTTAGAGTCTGTTGGACTCCTCAAAGAAAGTTTATAAAAGGTTGCCTCCTACCTTTTTTATGCTGGTTATATAATAAACTCAAAGGGATTTTGGTACATATATTACGGTTGTGTCCTCACACAATTTCTTATTCGTTAGATATTATCACTATGGTGAACCAGGTTCTTGGAAGGCAGTTCAGGGTTAGAGGTATTTTTGGGCTAGAGGTGTATTTTGTAATACTATATTCCAGAGATCTGGGATCTTTCAATATATGAAGAACTTTGGCTATAGTGTGACTAGATTGTTACCAAAAAAAAAAAAAAAAAGTGATTATGCACTCATGGGAGACTGCTTCTGTCCCAAACTCTAAAAGTTTGCTTAGCAAAATCTATCAATTCAGACTTTGAATTAGCTTTGTATCAAACAAGAGGCAAAGCCAGACAATAAATTGTGTCTAGGTTTAATTCATAGTTCAAAAACTGAATCATGATGTTGAAATTGAAGATAGTTATACAATGTTAATAGCTTGATATATTTTGTTATTTTGCTTTCTTCAAATGGCCTTTGCTCAAAATATTTCACATTACATAATTTTTTTTTTTTAGTTTTGTTATTTACTCCTTCAAGGTTTTATGTTTTTCTTCTTAGGTAGTTTAGTATTGTGTTTTTTCTTTTTTTCCCTCACTCTTTTTATATAATTTTATATAACTTTTTCTCAGCTCTTTTTATATAATAGGTTAGATTTAATTGGATAATCTTTTATATAGTAGTATCATAGTTATATAGATACATTGCTAGTAAAGTTTGTATATAGTAATCCAAACTAATAAGTTTATTTAGCTGTTGTGTTTTTAAAATTTTATAAAGTTATATTTTTTAAAAATATTACAAAATAACATTGTGGCTGTAGGTTCCATTTGTCTTTAACTCACCTAGATGTGTTCATGGAATGCCCCCACCTACCTACCTACCTACCTTAATGGTTTGTCAACATTGGAGCCTGTAAAACGTCAAAGAGAAACTTTATAAAATGATGTATCGTTGGTACATGACACCAGAGAAATTGTCTAGAATGTATAAAGGCATTTCAAATGTACGTTGGAAATATGAACAGCATGAAGGGACATTTTATCATGCTTGGTGGACTTTCTATGTTTTTTTCTTTTCATTGCTGATACATATGATGTCTAGAAGATGATATGTAGAGTAACTTCAGTTTTAATCTCTTGGATTCTGAAAAAAGGAAATGCAGGTTTAAAAAATTAAATGGAAAACCTGGGCTGTATTGAAGTGAATACCACTCTCTCTAGATATCAGAGGAAATTTATGGAGCAGAATATACATACAGAGGAAACAACACAGCATTTCACTAAAGGATTTCTGGAGACTGGTGCTTGACTTTTTTTAAAAAGAAGAAGCTCTTTATTAGGAAAATACATTTAGATAGAAAGCCAACATGCTTGATATATAGTAGCAGTATTCAAAGTAAAATGACAGGTTATTGAACTGCAAGACCAGATGGAGATGGTGTAGTATCTATGCAATTTCCAGAGAAGTGACAGAAATGAGGAGTAGGAAGTGATGCCAGCCCTGAGAATATCAGTCCAACCAATTAGAGGCATGCTATACCTAAAAAAGGGGGGATGAAAAGAAGTCAAGGGGATGAGGTGGGCAATGCATACACTTTTGACTGTATCTATTGTCCTTGGGGGACAGTCATTGAGAAGGCATAATGAGACAATACATAGAGAAGTGGATCTTCCAACACTAAACAATTTTTCTGTTTTAGGTAGCAAATGAAGACCCAACATTGACATATATCTTAAATGACTGGATTACAGCATTTTTGGAAGTCAAGCCAGTTTGGAAAATGAGTGCAAGACAAACACGTACTGCTTGTCTTCTCCTACCATAGCATGGGGGATAAAAAGATTTAGAGGGATAGCTTTGTAATGCCCAGTTGTTGTCACTCACCCTGTTAGCCTTCAAATCATCCATAAATACTTTAATGGTTTGTCAACAATGGAGCCTGTAACACTTCAAAGTCAGAGAGCATATCTACACTGCCCTTTTAAGTGGCTTCTGTCTTGTGCTCATGGCAATTTAAATCCAACCCAGCTTAAGATAAACCTAGCTGGACTAAGATGGTTTGGCGACATCTTAAAAAAGATCCAGGGCTACTATCTCCTTTTATTGGATATTCCCCCTGCTACTCTCAAGTTTCTGTTCAGGAAAGCAATGGTCTATGTATATACATACATACATACATACATACATACATACATGCATACATACATGTATACATATATACATACATTATAAGTATAAAATAAATTAAATTTATATATGCTCAAGTTAATGCATCAAAATGCAGGTATGTGCGGGCACAAGAATTAAATTTAAAATAAAAATTCTCTTCGTGCTTTCCAGAAGGTTTTTACAGCTTCTGTTGCAATGCTGCATCAATGGCACAGCAGGTAGAAGGCTTGTTTCATATTCAGAAAACCCAGCAAAGTATATTTTTTAAAATATATATTTTTTCTTCCCTGACATTCCAATTTTCCCCTGGGCTTTGTTTTTTAAATAAGTCCAGGGGTACCTGTTTCTTTTTCTTATTAAAAGGAAAACCGCAGGAAAAACAAGGATGTCAGGGAGAGAAAAAATAATAATTTAAAGTAAAGCATTTCTTGTTGGTTTTGAACCGAGGAATATTCTGCATACAAAATAAGCATTCTAACTGCTGTGCCATTGAGGTAACTTGATATCTATGCAGCAAAAGACTTCCTTGAAGGAAATCTGAAAAAGAAATGAGGAACATTCCTTCCTCTGTGAAGTAGCTGAGGAACTGCTGGGGTAAGCATGTAAGAAAGTACAGGTAGTCCCCGGTTAAAAAACAAGTTCTGTTCCCAAGGTTTGTCCATAAGTCAAATTTGTATGTAAGCCAGAACAGCATTATTGCATAATGCTGTATAAGTAGTATTGTGTCATTAACTCAAACCATTGTGTATTTAACTCAAATTTTGCTACAATAGGCTCCATTCTTAAATATGGGTTGTCCTTAAACTGGGTGTTAACTGGCCTACCTGTTACCTACACCAGCCCAGACAGAAGGGTCAAGGGACCATAAAGGAACACAATATTTTTTAAAAAGTGGCAGGACAACATGCCCAGAGGTCACATAGGCCATGGGAGAGGGGTGATTAAAGAACAATGTCATCTGTTCCTGTCCTCCAAAAATGGTTGATGGCCAGTTCTAGGAACAGGGCATTGGATAACATGGATAAATCCTCAGTGACAACGTCTGCCACTGGAATATTTCATCTTGTTCTTGGAATCATGATATGAGGGAGGGAGGGGAAGTCCTTCATTTAAGTCTATCAGATCTATTCTTTGATTCCTTCAATTTTAGCCAAAGCATGGTCTCTCAGTAGCTTTTCAAACATAGCAATTGAGTAGGGTGCTCCCCACCTATCATTTATCACCAGAACAACTCTGGTCTTCCATTTA